AATGATAGATTTTACATCCTAGGAGCGAGGAAGAACCTTGAGAATTTCCAACCTTTAAACACAAGAGAATCTATAGTATTTTGAAAGAGGAGAACATTCTCTAGCTTCCCTGGGTAATTCACCCTAATGCTTTAACAACTTTCTGCATCAGGAAGTTCTGTATGAGTTACAGCCTAAATTCTTCATGCTGCTTAAGCCTGTCCCTTCTTGTTCTGTCCTCAGTGGAGGGATCGAACAGCTGGTCACAGGCCCCAATGCAAGAGCCATTCACATAATTGAAAACTGTTATTAAATTGCCCCTTCAGCCACTCTTTCTTGCTCGTTCTCTTTTTTTGTTCATGGCTAAATAATCCCAATTCCCTTAAACTGTTCTCATAGGTCTTTCAAACCCTTTAATTATCCTTGTGCCTTTCTGCCAAGCCTTCTCTGAATTCTGGGTCAGCTGTAGTCCCCAGAACTCCACCGCGTTTTCTAAGGCGGGTTTGAACAGTGCTGAGGGTCATGAGACCCTTTCCTCACCCTCTCCCTGCTTGCCTTCAGTTACACATCCTAGTCATGGCGTTGCTTTTTTTCTTTTTTATGTTTTTCCACCTACATTTGTTGCTGACTCATGGTTGGATTTTGACTTTCCATCTTCTGGAATGATTAGAAGCTTTGTATTCTTACCACGCTTCCTGTATTAAGCCTGAATTTTTACTCTACAGGGTATCTATTAATTCATCATTAAACAAACTCTCATTTCAGCCTCAGTCAGAAAAAAATATATATATAGGTTCAGATGAAGCCACAGTAAATTCATGTTTCAAATAGGAATGACTTAGTAATGTTTTTCAGTTTACTGTCTGTGCTGGCTTGTCTCCTCGCTAGAAAGGGTTATTTTGATAAAGTCAGTTTCTAGTCCAATGGAGCAGGAGATTGTCATAGGACGTATTGTAGCTGAAACTTGTGGTTCCTTTGACACAATTTATCATTGTGTCTTTGTGTACAAGATAGAGAAACGCGTGCAGGAGCCTACATGGTGACAGAACCGGCAGGAGGCCTAGTTTGACCAGAGAAGGCTGAAGGCTGGGTTTCTGTGGAGCTGAGCTGCGAGGTGTCACGGTGTGGCTCCTGTTTGACCTCGGCCTGCTTGATACTTTCACCAGGGACTTTTTGATGAGGACAGAACACATGTTCTCAAATGTAAAAACCGTTTAAAAAGAAGTAAGTTTTAAAAATGTAAAAATTATGCGAAGTGGGAAAGAACGGCTTGGCTGTTGGCTGTGAGAGTCAGGATTCTGCAAGTTTGCTGCAGTTGTGCAGTGGGCTCAGACTCACGGGAAATCCTTGACGAATGTGAAAGAAACCGATCCCAGATGAACAAGCAGAGAGTAGAGGAATCACCGGAAACAGCCAAGAAGGGCATTTCCCATTATACCCACCACAGCATTAGTACTTTGTGCTGTTCATAAGCCTGAAAAGTTTAAAAAAAAAAAAAAAGATAAAGGTGTTGGGATCACTGAATAATTAGTGTGGGAAATCCTGAGGTTAAAGTTTAACGTGTTTCTTGACCAACAACCTTCTCAGCTTTTAATATGTTAACATGCATTAAGCATTTTAAGAGGCAGATATAATGTGCAGTGTTTCCGTAATTAATTTGACCTTCTTTTCATGAAGCACTTTGTTGGATGACTGATCTGCTGGATGCACTGGGAAGCACTGACCCAGAGATTTTACTTGAGTGGAAACCCTGTGTGAGCTTAGAATACAAAACAAAAGAAAGTCATCCAATCCTACTGTCTGGACAAGTGGAGGTACCATTCATTCCCAACAGATCATATTTGGAGAGTAGTCTTCTAAAGGACAGTGGCAAACCAAGGCATGTCCTATGAGAAATAAAAGGAATGAGGCGGGGAGCGGTGTGCCTGGGTGGCTCAGTAAGTTGAGCGTCTGACTCTTGGTTTCAGCTCAGGTCATGATCTCAGGGTTGTGAGATCAAGCCCCAGGTTGGGCTCTGCGCTCAGCGTGGGGTCTGTGTTCTCTCTCTCTCCCCCACCCCGCCTCTCCCCCTCTTTCTGTCTCAAATAAACAAATAAACACAATCTTTAAAAATAAAAGGAACAGGAATGAAGAGGCATGGGACAGACATGACCACTCAGGTAGAATATTGAGAAGGCTCCGCAAAGCCTGAGACCCTCTGAGTTTCTGGTGGGACAGACAACAACAGTGAGGGTAACAGTGGCACACACGGGTGTGGCTCTTGCTATGTGCCAGATACTGTTCCACGCACCTTTCATTTAACTCGTTTAAATCTTAAAACAACCCTATCTGGCAGGTGCTATTCATATTCCATCTCAAGGCAGAGGAAAAGTAAGACCCAGAGAGGTAAATTTAATTCTCCAAGGTCACACAGCCAGTAAATGGCAGAGCTGGGCTTTGAACTCTTGGTGGTTGGATTCTACAGCCCCCGCTCTGCTCTTGGATTTCAGCTGTGTGTGATGAAGTACTTTTGACAGGGGTACCTCTGCTCAGGCGTTCAAGATCATCCATTAAGGATGTTGGCTCCCTGGTACAGCTGACGTTTATATGGTGGCTCTAAGAACACAGTGGCATCGCATAAGAGTTGGTGCCATTCCAAAAGGATGAGTTCACTTGCATGGTCCCTTTCATCTTGAGGTTCCATGATTTTTTCCCCCAATTTTCCACAGAGTGCCCCTGTGATGGCACTCTGCACAGAGGAAAGTGCTCCTCCACAAAAGCTTTTGGTCAGTACCTCGGATTGATAGCGTTTTGCAGCTAGGAAATTCAAGGTCAAATAGCTCATTATAATGTTGTTAAATGTATAATCAGGGGTACCGGCTGGACTAGTGCTGAAGTGGTGAGCTTTGCGAGCCAAATGACCTCTCAGTCCAAGCCCTATTGCCTTTCTGTCTGCAGTGTAGGAACAGATTCCTCATTAGCGAACCACATTCCAAGAGAAGCAACATGGGTTTGCAGTGTAGATACTCATTACTTGTTTGATACTAAATAACCCCTCCCTATGTTCAGTTTCAATCGGTCTTGGAATTGGCAGTGTTCTCTGGTTCTTGGCAAAAGCAAACAAACATCCTCTCTGTAGAAAGCACTTGCATTCTAGGGCTCAGAGTATCTCCAGAAGATTTTTTTTTAAGGTCAATGTAGTATATAATAAAAAAAAAAAAAAAATTAAGCACCCGAGAACCCAAGGTGAGTGAGAACCAGCAGAAACAGCAGACTGCAGGAGCAGACCCACAGTAATTTCATACTTCGGAATCAATAGACAGGTGGTTTTTTGAAAACCATGTTTACTCTGTTTAAAAAAAATAATAGCTAAGATTGAAAAATATCTGGGGGCGCCTGGGTGGCTCAGTCGTTAAGCATCTGCCTTCGGCTCAGGTCATGATCCCAGGGTCCTGGGATCGAGCCGCACATCGGGCTCCTTGCTCCGCGGGAGGCTTGCTTCTCCCTCTCCCACTCCCGCTGCTTGTGTTCCTGCTCTCGCTCTCTCTCTCTGTCAAATAAATAAATAAAATCTTAAAAAAAAAAAAAAAAAAGAAAAATATCTGCAGGGAGCCACAGACTTTGTAGAACTGACCTTAAAAATGACCAAATAGAACTTGTAGATGTTAAAAAGTACAACCACCAAAATTTAAAACTTACTGTTTGGGCTTAACAGCAGCCTGGATGCTACCAAAGAGAGAAATAGATAGAAGGGATTGTTAGAAATGAAGCACAAGGAGGGCCTGTGCAGACCAACATGGGTCAGGTTGAGAGAGTCTAACATTTATCTAATAGATTTCTGTAAACAGAACAGAGGGAAAATGGAGACGAGGCATTATTTGTTGAGATCATGACTGAGAAGATTCCAGAGCTGACCAGAGATGCTAAAGATTCAAGAAGCCCAGTGAATACTAAAAAAGTATAAATAAACCCTAGAAACAGATTACCTTCAAAGGAGCAATAGTCTGCTTTACCAAGGACAGTTCTTAACAGTAACAACAGAGAAAGTAAAATAAAAGTGAAATAATAATTCAGTGTGCTAAAACAAAATAAAAAGAGACAAAACCAAAAAAAAAAAAAAAAAAGAAAAAAAAAAAAAAAAAACCTTTTCAGTCTAAAAATCTATACCCAATGTGGATAGCTGTCAAGAATATGGATTTAAAAAGGAGATTTTTCAGACCAAACAAAACCTGAGAAATTCTCCTCCAACATGGCACTTACAAGAACGTTCTAAAGGATATACTTAGGCAGAAGGGATCCCAGATGGAAAATGTGAGACGAAAGAAGCGATGAAGAAAAACAAAGTGGCCAATATATTGGTCAATCTAACAACACACAAAAATTAAGACACCATCTTGTAGGGTTAACAAGTAAACAGCAGTAGACCAGGAGGTATGGGTTCTAGGACCATCTCAGCTCCTAGTCTGTTGTATGGCCTTTGAAAAGCTACCTCCCTCATCTGTGTCTCAGTTTTCTCGTCTGTAAAATGAAGCTCCAGGACCCAGTGTTTTTTAGAGCCTCTTCATTATGATTCCATGAAACACTGAGAAATAGATTGTCTAGGACAAAACAAGGAATCAATAATTCCTGAGTTGGTTTTTCCTTAACCTTCTTTGAAATGTTATCGATAAACACTCGGCATTTTACTTCTGTCTCACTCTTACGTATCTGTCCCGAAACTGGAGCTAAAGGGAGTGTCGAGGCGCAGGTGTGTATTTTGCTCGCCTTTCTCCACATGTTGGTTTTGCTTCGCTTTCTTGTCATCTAGCAGCCGAACAGAGTAATGGCAGGTTACTCAAGCCTTAGGGGGTAGGTGGCTCGTGTGGCTGCGAGGGGGACATTGGCAGAAACAGGCTGTGAAAAGTGGGTCTCATCGTACCACCACTGTTCTGAATTTCTTAATGTCTGGTCTGTACTGACATGTGCCTCCTCTCCTTTCTCCCCTTCCTTCTCTTCTTGCCCCGTGCCCCACCCCCCTTCGCTTTTCCTCCTGTCCTGCACAGGCTAATAATAAGCCTGAGATCGAAGCGGCCCTCTTCCTAGACTGGATGCGCCTGGAGCCCCAGTCCATGGTGTGGCTGCCCGTCCTGCACCGGGTGGCTGCCGCGGAGACTGCCAAGCACCAGGCCAAGTGCAACATCTGCAAGGAGTGTCCCATCATCGGATTCAGGTATCGGGAACCCGCCAAATGGCATTGTTTTTTTTTTTTTTCTTCGTGTCTCTCACCTTTTTCGGACTTGATCTTTTATCTCCTGTGCCAGTTGCTGTCAGTTTGTTCCTTTCCCAAGTGACTGCCCTGGTCCCCGGGCTAGTTTGGTGGCTCTGACTCATTAGGCAGGTGGCCCTTTGCACCTTCATTGTGGAGCTCTGCAGGACCGACTGACCGCCTGCCTCCTCGGAGATACCTCTGCGGCAGGGGAATGCTGATTCATGGCGCCACCTCCTTCCCGGGGCCAGACAGTGTTAACCATCTCTTTGGGTTTTTTTGTTGTTGTTGTTGTTGTTTTTTTTCCTGTTGCTAGAGATTCTCTAGGAATCAGTTCTAAGACTAAGAGATGGTTTTGTTTGGGGAGACCTGTCATGGCAGCTCAGGTTCTTATTCACTTTGTCCCACTTTTCTTCCTTGAACTCACAGGAATTGTTTCAGGCAACCCAGAACGTACTTCTTGATCGGTGAATCTGATTACACTCTTTGCCTAGTATCCTAATGAACTTCTAAGGGAATATAAAGTATGCAAGTAAATGAAAATTTCACAAAGCAGCTAAAAAAAGGGAAAGGTTCTTTATAAATTTAAAAGGGGAAGAGATAAGAAGCATAGCAGGTTATTATTCTGATATTCTTAAAAATGTCACAGAAAACAGTTGGCTCTTAAATTTTCAGCCTCGGTGACCTGTTTTGGGAGAGAGGGGATATTGTTAATTAATCTTACCGAACAAGAATCCCAAATCCAGATTTTGAAATGATGCTGTATTTCAACATCTGTATCAACATCTGGGTTTCCCTAGCAGTGACTCAGCCGTCCAGTTCTCAACTAGCTATATGGTCTGTGCCTACTCAGAATCCACTTAACAGCTACGTAAATACTCTTTCTCTAGTTCTGCTCAGACTTGTTTTATTTCTCTCCTTCCTAATAACTGCTTCATACCATTCGTGTGCTTTGTATTCACTCCTCTTTTACCCCTGGTTTGTCCTTCTGTACTTCATGTTGTGACCAAGAGGTTTTTGCAAAAACCCGTTAGAGGTTCCTAAAGCCTAGCTAGACCACCCTGAGTAGACAGTGCTCACAAAGGACACAGTTTTCCTTCCTTCGTGGTTTCTGGCCGGTACAAACGATTGCAGGGGAGATGGGGAGGGGAAACCGCAGGGGACTGTGTTCCAACACTTACCTTTCTACTCTCAGCTTCCCCGCCTAGCTAGTGAGATTGATGTGCAGGGGGAGGTTTCACAAAATAGGAAAGGGGGGCGCTTTGGAGGATCTGAGAGTGATGTTGCCTTTAATTCTTTTGCCCTTATCGAATTAGATTATTTCGGGAAGCGGCGCTTCTCTTTCTTCCTCCCCCTCTCAAAAGATGGTTGGGATCTAAAAAAGGCAGCTTTTTCCCCACATCTCCATATGTGGCAGAAGGAATATGTTTATTTGAATTGGCTAGCATTCTTATCTGAGAAAGCAAAAGGCAGGGAGAATAGGAAATAATAGCGTCTGCTGAGAATGGGGGCGGACGTACCACCCCGTACTTACAGATTACAGCTGCTTTCAGCCAGCCCCAGTTTGTCTTTTCTTGGGGCTTCACTTATCATTTGTGGGTAACGTGGTGGTGCGGGGGGGGGGCGGTTCTGAAGAGAGAGACATAAAAGAGATCATCCGAGTAACTACCTGGAGGTGAATCGTGCCAGTCAATCAGAAAATGTGATTAAAGCAAGAAGCATTTTCAGTGAGAGTCCTTGTTTCATTTGCCTTTATTTTGTGAAATTGCTTCCTCTTGATAAATTGTTTTGAAAATAATTGCTTCAGAAAAATGTTTGTCCCCAGAATGGGTAGGGGGCCTGCAGTGCATCCATCTCTCTCTCCTGGAAGTTCTTTCAAAATCTTGCGTTTTGTCTTCAAAAGACTGGAAGGTTGCCAGTATCTTCCTACTTAATCTGAAAGGGTTCCTCGTGGAGGTTAAATGAGAGCTGAAGTTTTCTTCCCTCCTTCCATACGTTTATAGGATAGTCTTCCTGCCAAAATGTTTTGATACTGAGGGAGAAGCACCAGAGATATGTAGATGGAGGAAGTTAATCACTTACCTGTGGGATTAATGAACATTGCATTCTGTTTCATGAATTAAGACCGTGTGGAAGAAGGTTTACTAAAGAACGTTCTTTGGGAATTGGATTTGAAGAAATACATATGTGTTTGTTTTTGTTTTTCACCAGGTACAGGAGTCTAAAGCACTTTAACTATGACATCTGCCAAAGTTGCTTTTTTTCTGGTCGAGTTGCAAAAGGCCATAAAATGCACTATCCCATGGTGGAATACTGCACTCCGGTAAGTCAGATGCCTCCCTGGCGTGAGAGTTTGCTCACCTGGAAGGAGTTTCACTTCTGCACAGTATTGCAGATGATGTGTGATGCTGGGGTTTATGAGTTCCCCGGATGTTCCCCAGCTAAAGTGGCTCCTCATTGTAGGCTCCAGATTTTCTTGATCCTAGTGCGTGGGGTGGTGCTGAGAAGACGTTTTCACACTGGTTTTGCACAGCCCTAGCAGTTGTGTGGACACGTTTTATGGCCTTGGGGAGGTGCTGGGTGTTGGGGTAGGGGGTGATGTGGGGTTCTTCTGAATCTATTATCCATTGCTTTCAGTCAGTCTTGCTTAACTCAGGCATTTGCCTTTTATTTTTATTTATTTTTTTGACTATTTATACATGTATATATACATATATATGTATATACGTGTGCCTTTGCCTTTTAAACTACTCTGTGAAGTAGGTATTATTATTATCTCCTTCCTACAGATGAGGACTCTGAGGTCTTAAGGTTAAATAATTTGCCCAAGGCTCTATAATTAGGAGGTGGAGCTTTTTCCCAAGATGTTGTTTTGGGGAAGTGTTCATTGGCTCACAGAACTTTGAAAGAATCGCTGGGGACATGGAAAGGACATAGACTTGGTGGTCAGACACACATGGGTGTAAATGTGATGTTCTTTAAACACTAGCTGCTTGCTATTCAATGCCTGCTCCGTGGCACTGGCATTACCTGGGAGCTTACTAGAAATGCAAAAGCTCTGGGCGCCTGGGTGGCTCAGATGGTTAAGCACCTGCCTTCGGCTCAGGTCATGATCCCAGGGTCCTGGGATCGAGTCCCGCATCGGGCTCCCTGCTCCTTGGGAGCCTGCTTCTCCCTCTGCTTCTCTCTCTCCCCCTCTGTCGCTCATGAATAAATAAATAAAATCTTAAAAAAAAAAAAAATGCAAAAGCTCAGGCCCCGCCCCTGACTTCGTAAATCCACCCTGCATTTTCGCAAGATCTGCAGGTGGATGCCATGCGCAGCAAAGTTTGAGAAGCTCTGCTCTCGAACTTTTATGCTCTTCTTTCTTTCTTCCATCATCAGAGCGATGACCCAGGTCTTTCACTGTCTCTCTCACTTGGATTCCTCTTGCAAAGGCATTCAGTGATGGAGAATGAGCCACGCAGTGAATAGAATGATACTCAGTGGGTGAAACGTGACATCGCCGAGGAGAGAATCGTTTTTAAAATACTGCAAAGTGTGGCCAAACTTAAGGTCAACTTTAAGAGTTCTACAAACTCCCATTGATCGAGTAGCCCTCATAGTTGCTACACTTGTTTTTCGCCATAACAACTTGTTGAGGTATTACTGCCGCCATTTTACAGGTGGTCGGAGCCTTGGAGAGGTAAATAACTTGCCCAAGTGAGCCCTACTAGTTACTGCTATGCCCGGCCCGGTTTTTGTCCATAGACTTGGCTCTTGACCCCCACTGTCTCTTCAGTTACGGAACAAGTGCCCTGAAGCAGAGCACTGGAGTGAGTACTCTTTTACCTTGAGATCGTACCTTTGTAGGTCTGAGCTCAGTTCACTTTCCCTTTCAGACTACATCGGGAGAAGATGTTCGTGACTTTGCCAAGGTACTAAAAAACAAATTTCGAACCAAAAGGTATTTTGCGAAGCATCCCCGAATGGGCTACCTGCCAGTGCAGACGGTCTTAGAGGGGGACAACATGGAAACGTGAGTAGTGGCAAGCGCAAAGCAGTCTCTCATTTGACATATATTTGAGCTCCTCTCAGCTGAATGCCCTCCTTCACTCCCAAATGCAAACAGTCTCTCCTATTTCTTTAGATTTACTTTAGCCGAAAAGAGAAAAACAAGCTGATGGTCAATTGCCATTTTCCCACGTTAGTTGTCCCGTGACACCTTCCTGTTCCAAAAGTGAAACCTGATCTCACAGGGAAAGAAACTACACGACAGCTACTAATTCCCTTATAAGAAATATGGGACTGTTTACAAATGAGTGATTCCAGTCTTTCATTTCGGTCTTCCTCCCTCACAAATCACTAGGCGTCTGTCTTTTTGTATCTGATTGTGTGGTCATACCTAGTTGCTTTTATCTCCTTGAAAGAAAAGACACTCACAGGAAGTTGCTTCACAGTAAGTAGCAATGATTCTCATGATCAAAATGATGATATCTCCACCTCTCTGCAACCTTCTCGTGTTTCCCATAACGGATGGCAATCGCACACTTGTTTGTTTTTCTTTCACCTCACTCTCCACCTTTGTTTGGCTGTTGCTTTCATGTTTCATACTTAATTGGTTGGATTTTATTTATTTTGACCTCTCAGTATTTTTTTTAATTAATTCATTTATTTTTATTTATCTTTTTGTGGCTGAGTTTGCCTGTGTCTCTCTTCACCACCTCATTTTTTGTTTTGCAGTCCTGTTACTCTGATCAACTTCTGGCCGGTAGATTCTGCGTGAGTACTTCTGCTGAAGGGGGCTGCTACCACCAACACATTTGCTTGCTTGATTTGACAATTTTTTTGTTCTGTTGGTTTGGTTTGGTTTTTAAGGACACATTAATTTCCCTTCCTTCATTTCATTTTTTTTCTTCCCGCGGTAAGACACTTAGAGTGCCATCCACCACAGAGCGGGAGAATCAGAGTGAGGTTTCCGGGTCCCTACCCAGTCAGGTTTTAACCAGCAGACATCCTGGCCTGGAGTCAGTCATCAAAGAAACGAATGGGTTGTTAGTTCTATTCCTGAGAGACACGTTTACGTATTCTTCCATGATAAGCTCCTCTGATTGCGTAATAACATTCTTGAGCCATATTTTTTGAGATTCAATACTTCAGGGCTTTCAAAAGGATGATGGTTTGTTCTTTAGGGCCTGTTACAAGTGGACCATTAAAAAGCAGCAGAATTTGTTTTATAGTAGGATGTGGAGTTTGATGGAATAATTTCAGTCAGGTGTGTGTACTTCTTATCATGCTACCAGACTAATCTTTATACACATATACACACGAGTTTCTCAGTTTTGAACTAAACTCACTTTGCTCTCCTCTCCAAACTAAATATTCAGCTCATAGTTACACATTTACACTGGAAGGAAAGTATACTCTACACTATTGGTGTATATGAATAATGCTAATATTAGATACCAACAGATAATTGGTTTATCTTAGAGTTTATGATGTTATTAGAAAACTCTGGGGAGTTGGTGATTTACATATTAGTAAACAAAGCATGCATTGTTTTAAAGTTACATTGTGTGGAGTGTTTATAACAAAGTTTTGTTATTTCAGAGTGTACTTAGTAAAATATTTAAAGTCAGACAGCTCTATTATATAGAGAAGGAAATGACCAATTTAGAAGAACTCGATTTATTTTTATTGGGTCTCTTTTATTGTTCCACTGTGTAATTTAATTTAAAGTATATCCTTTTTTAAAAATCCTGTAGTGATAAATGCAAGTTATTAATTGAGGTTTATTTTAAGTCTTTATTGGCCTAAAAGAATTGTAAGGTGTCCCTTTCTTTGTTAAAGCTGCATTATTGTGCCCCTTAATTTTGAGATACGGTACCTATACCTGATTTTTTTACTCATCAAGGGGAGTTATTTAGATTCAGTTCTGGTTTTTTGCTATTCATAGGTAACTGTTTTCCCTAACCTGGGTAGTTTATTTATTTATAGAAGTTTGACCCTTTCCTAAATGAGAAACTTCAGAACAAACTGATGGACTGAAATCCTCACTAAGTGAATGGATTTATTCTGTGTTGGAATAAGTTTTAGCCAGTTGAAATATCCAAAAGGCAAATGTGCTACAGAATAACTTTAAAAATGCATGGATGGAGGTAACACAAAATGATAAGCAAAAAATAACAGTTCCTTGAATGGAAAAAAAATGTTTATTGAATACATCAACCAATGAGAAAAAACATGACAAGTGAGTTTAATGTCACTTATTTTAAGTAGAGTGTGTTTGTCTTCAACTTTGAAGAACTATCAAATTAATAACATCCTATATTAAAATATCTTCCTCTAGAAACTAAAACATAGAATCACTTTGCCTTTTTTATAAAAAGTCTGTTCAATTATTCAGAAATAGTGGGAAATTATCCTTTTGAGGAAGAAAACCAGACCCGGCAGGCTATGGTCCCTATTTCTTTAATACCAGCATTTTTATTAAAGTCTTTACTCAGGGGATTTTAAATAATTTATAAAATATATTGCAGAGCTCTCCTATTTAGCCAGAAGAACCAGGTCCTGAGGTGGCTTAATTTTGCAAGAATTCCCTCTGATGTTAACAGATTCTCATGTGGATCACAGAATTTGAACGTCGACTGAGATACAGATCTTTTGTTTTTCCTCAGCGGAAACCCTTACTTACCTGTGTTTCTCGTATTTTTCTTAAAAACTAAATCTAGCCTAAGCCTTTTATATTGTTTGTCCAGAAATGAGACAAACAGTATCCTTTGAGCTATTCTGCTTTGAAACATAAACGGATGAAAACTTACTAATGGAGTTTTCACAAAAGAGAAACCGGTGGTGGGTGGGGATGGAATTGGCCATTAATAATAACAGGACTAATCCTTCTGGGTATATCGTTTTGTGTGTAGGAAGTAGGAAGGGAGAACAGTGTTCTTACCGTCTCTCGGAAAAGTGTTTCAGAAGGCTTTGCATTTAGTTTTGTTTCTGGACTAAGTGGTTTTCTCCTTATTCTTGGTTTTTTAAATGCGCCTTCTCTGAACAGTACTCCCTTTTGGCTCATTTTCTGGTTTAATAGGTACCTCCTTTAGTATACTTTTTTTTTTTCTTTTTTTAGGAATTCTTGTGCTTATGCATGCTCTGTTAGGTGCTACTTAGTAACAAAAATCACATGGAATTAGCCTCAAGGCTAGGAATTAAAGTGCTGCATAATATTTTCTGTATAAGATTTTACTAAAGTGTTTTGGATTTACATGCCTAGTTTTCTTTTTATAGTTATGCTCAAAGGTCTCAGGTTTTCTTTCTTCTGTACACTATCAAGGTAGCAACCATTGGAAAGGAAAACACTTAACCGTTTTCTTCCTGGTAGGCTTTTAGCTTATCCGCAGTATGTAAATGAGAAAAAAAAGTATGTAAATGAAAAATTGGTTTGTTCCAGAAGATAGGGCTTATAATCCAAATAATCCAACTACTAAGTTATTTTGACCTGCAGTGAATATTTTAAAACAAACCTTAGCATTTTTCTAATGCGCTATTCCAGGGTTCTAAGAAATGATGTGAACTCTACCAAACTAGAGCGAAGATTCACACGGAAATCTTTGGATCTGCCTAGTAAATTGGGTGGCCATCCTTGTTTCCTCATGACAGCTTAAAGGTCTTTGTAGTTCATTACAAATTGGATTAGAGTGACACTTGACCTAGACAACACTGGTTTCATAAATAAGACATTTATCTCTCAAGGAAGACCTCAGTTCCCTAGTTGCTTGCTATACTGTGTTGTAATCATTTTAGGATTGCGTGTCTTCTTTAAGAAATAGGGATTTCTAGCTTATTTCCTAGGTAAGCCTAGATAACTACGTGTTTGGTTTTTTTTTTTCCATATAAGTAAAAACAAATGTATTCTTCTTAGTGTTTTGACCACATCCATTAATGCTGTTTGGACGCTGGGCTAAACCAGTCCTCACTGAATAGGTTACTGCGGACTTTGGGGTCCATGCCTTTCTGTACGGGCTTTCTGTGTCAGGACAGAAGTGGAAGAGAACTTTTGTCCTATTCCGTTTACGACCGAAAAGCACAAGTCCAAACTGGTTTTCAGAACGGATGGATTTTTTTTTCCTAAGGTTAATCCAAAAGATACCATAAAAACTTCAAGGGTAATTAATAGATCAGATACAGAAGGGTGGGGAAAATATTAACCTTACCAAATTTCTTAGTCTCTGGAGCTTAAAAAGAAAAAGTAGGGTTTTACACCCCAAAAGCATATAGACTGTTCATGCTACCGCTCCCCTCTAGTTTTCTTCTCTGTATGGTAGCACACAGTATCCCTACTAAGAAATATTGCAGGTATTGTGACATTTTGTTGGATTTAGTCGTTCTTTTTTTAAAACATCACAGTATCATTGTGGGTCATTCAATTTTATTTTGTGAAGTAGTAATATGGTCCTGCTACTAAATTGTACTAAATTGGTGGATATGTTACTTCCTTACAAAACAGCACAGACCAAGATATCTTGATGTGTGGGATCTTAACAGGTCCTGGCCTGGCCTCCTGGGAATTAAAATTGTTGACTGTAAATGTACTAAGCAAATGTACAGTTTCCATTCAGTAAGAAAGCAGCTAATAAATGGCGTGGGGGGGGCACTACTTAAAATTTTTAACCACCTAGTGCCAACGTAGTCTCAGAACTATAGGATGTGAGAAATGACACGGTGGGAGGAAAAAATGTCACAAAGAGATCATCTCCCCTTCTATAATTGAAACATTCCAGAGAAGATTTTGATCTCTTTTGATGGCTTTGGGGAAAAAAATGAGAAGTATGAGAAATTACCTCTCAAACTTGGATTTAAAATAGTTGATGATATATCTAAGATATAGGAACAACCAAATGTGTACATTATCCAGAGCATTAGAAGAAAAGCATTTTAGGCCATATATATAACATGACTGTGTGGTGGGGTTTTTTTTCTCCATTAATGGATGGTATCTGTGACTAATCACATTTTCTGCCTTATAGGCCTGCCTCGTCCCCTCAGCTTTCACACGATGATACTCATTCACGCATTGAACATTATGCTAGCAGGTATGAGACTAGTTGAATGCCAGGCAAATATTGATTGAAATAACTAACCAAGGAAAGCTAACCTATAATCATTTGAAACAAACCTTTTCTTTTTCCCCCCAATCTTGTCTGATTTCTACTAATCCACTTGCCCTCTAACTTGCATGCCATTCCACTGCATGCTGTTTTTGGACACCAGTAAGAGCATTAGTCCAGAACAATCTCCCCTCATCCTGGCCTTTAAACATTTCTGATAGCTTTGCTATGTTTTGCATATGGAGCACGTTTAAAGAGTTGGCTTAGAAATCATCTCACCTTCTTGGAGAACTGCTAGACCAACCATCCATGGGTGAAGAAACGATACTGTGTTCTCTAGAGCATATGAAAGCATTAGCTTTCTATTTGCGTGCTTATTTAACATCAGATGCTGTAAAGAAAAGAATAATTAATTTTCCTAATCCGTGCAACTTTTTGTCCCACCTTCTCTGTGTTTCAGCGAATTTTTATGCCTAAAAACCGAATTGCTAATTGTAAGCTGTCTTATGCTCGTTAAAGAAGTCTGTAAGAGTTTGGTTAACTTTTTTTATTTTTTAGTGGTAAGAAGATTTTATTATTGTCTGAGGGGAAGGAGGTTTTTGAAGGTAAAAATTGGTGGCAGACTGTTCAGAGAGCTTACTATGAGTCCATCCTTTATCAGTAGTCTGACTGCTAAATGTGTTTGTCAACCGTGGGAAGCATTAACTAGCTATATAAGTCTGTCATCAGGGGAGAGTTTAATTGTCTTTAAAAAACAAGGGGTAGTGAAGGTACAGTGTATTTGTTGGTAGGGAAGCTTTTCTTGTAAAAACAAAGGCCTGCTCTCAGTAAAAGCAAGATCAATTTGTGAAGAAGAAGAAGAAGAAAACAACAACCAAATACAACTTCCCTTCTAATTTATAGCATAAATGTAGAGCTCCTAACTAGCTGTGGTCCATCACTCACTGCCTCAAATGGTTAGGGCAACACACACATTCTTTAATTTGAAGGATTCCTTTCTCTTCTTGACATGATTTATCCTTTAGTTTTCAGGAATGTTCGATTAGGTCTTGAATAGATTCTAAGAAATCACATAAGTTTTAATGAGCTTTTACGTTTTTTATCAGGCTAGCAGAAATGGAAAACAGCAATGGATCTTATCTAAATGATAGCATCTCTCCTAATGAGAGCATGTAAGTATCCTGTCTCTTTTTACAAAATGTTCCTGACGATGAAATTGCTTTGAGGGCTTTAGAGGTAGGGTAGTGCAGAAGATAGGAATTAGCATTAGACTCACTTGATCTTTCAAGGAGCCATTTGTTGACTTTTTTTCCTTTGACTCTTAACCATCTGACACGGAATGAGCTCATCCAAAATGTGGCATTACTGGTATTCCAGAGTAGCAAAAACAGTGGGCCTTATTTAATACCAGATTATCACAAGTTGCATAGGCTCAAATATTGAAATTATTTACGAAATGCTTAATCTTTGACCAAACCTGCCAGATATTTAAAGGGGTTGGATATTAATTTTTAAATGTGATGGCTAAGTAGTATTTTCTCCACTCCGGGAGCAGACATATAATCTTGGTATGGTTACATTGGTATTCCCATCTGGTAGGTTAGTTGGGCATTTTCCTTCAGAATCCGAAGTAGTAGATTTTTGTGATTTAGCATCTTCGCTAGCTAAATCAGGTGAGGCAATCTGGTGAAGGGTTTCAGAAGAGGAAGTACAAATTTAGGTCGAAGTTGTCTAGTGGGCTGATAAGCCAGGCCTGTCAAATAGAAGGGAAGAGAGAGCGCAATGCTAGAAATGGTAACAGGGAAAGAGTGGCTTTCTTACTGAGTTGGGGAAGTGTTCACATTGAGGAACACAGGAATAGTGCCATGAACCAAGGGCCCAAGGTGGAGGGAGCCAATTAAGAAGCTAATATGTAGGAAAAGATAAGGATCTGCTAACCGAATAGATAATTTAGAGAGAGGGGGAAAAAATCTAGTCAAAGCACAGCAGTGTCTACTTCGATAAGTTACGGGTGTCTCACCACTTTGTCATGGAATCTAGGCAAAGGGAAGAAGGAGTGGTAAATTTATCATGTCGTTGGTGTGGCAGCCCAGCGTCACACTCCAATGAGGCAAGAGCCTTTGTAAGGATCGGGCTGAGGGAAATAGTATCCTAGTGGCATGTATATACATAGCTGGTTATTGAAGACATGAGAACAAATCATCTGGTAGATAAAGGTGATCACCTGCAAAGGTGAGTGTTGAATCAAGTTGACAGTCGTTTGTATATGACTGAGTTACTTAAAACGAAAACAACCTTTTCCCCAAACGAAAGTAACTGTGGTACATTCTCTTTCTCAGTTATGGGGATAAGTATTAGTAGGTTTAGTATATAAAATACCTCGACAGGAAAATATGTGGCCAAAGAATCAACCAAATGTAAACAAACCCGAATGATTTGCTTCTTTGTGTCACCACTTTTGGCGATTAGAAGCTCTAGCACATTCAAATGACCGCCTGAGAGAACAGTAAGAGAAATTTAATTACAGCTCTGTTGTAATTAAACACAGGAAGTTCTTGCAATAAAATTTCAGAATTTGGGAAGAGGGATAATAAATTAGGTAGTAAAACATCTTTTTACAATTGTTAAATGAAATTTAGCTTTAGCTCATTCTGAGGACATAAAATGCATTTTGACTCCGTATTAGATGGTAAAACCACGACCTTTTGGGGGCAGATCTGGGGAAGTTGTTTGGGGGATTGGTTGACTTCACTTAAATGTTGGTTTTTAACACCCAGTAATTATTTTTAGACAACTTTTCCCTTCTCAACCAATTCCCTGGCTTGACAGACCAAAATCATTTAAGTCATTTTTTCCTAAATACATGAATTGTTTTTCAACTCAGAAGACTTAGAGAGGGGAATGTCAACATACCATCCTACTCACATCTAACGAGAAACAAAGAGCTTTCGCCTCATTAAGAACAGAATGAAGTTCTTGTAACTTAGATGTGCACAGGCTTCTAAGGAGCTAGGAGCAATACATTTAGAAAATAATTTCTCCTGTGTATTAGAGAGTTCCTAGTTTTAAGGAAACATTGCAGCTGCCTCCCCAAATGTAAGCCTTTTGCTTCTTTGTTCCTGAAGATTAGTCCTTAAAAGCTATTCTAAAGAATGAGATGCTCAGTCTTCTTTTAATTAGTCATCCCAGTGGCTTTTTTTTTTCCTTCTAGTTTTTGTTTTTCTCTCTGAACAATAATTGAATGAAACCATCATTTGTCTCCAGTTTCATTATCGTTACCATCTTGCCTCTATGGCTTTTGTAAGTTCAAACTGGCTTAGCAAAGCAACACTTTGTGGGCCCCTGAAACAAATATTAATTATTGTAAAGGCTGCAGGGTTATTTTTCCTGGTCATTGTCAACAAGAGCGTGGGTTAGTGAACAGATTATCTTGACAGGCTTGGTAGTAAAAGCATTATAGAGCCATTGTTATGTCTTTTAATATCTGTTAACTATTGGTTGAACAGTCAACATAAGAGTCCCAGTATTTCTGTAAATCTGCTACTCATTTGCCCATGTAAATAGGCCAATCAAATTCATTTGAAAATTTGAGCAAGAAATACTTTGAATTGTCACCAATAAGATCATAGATCACAACCTCAAAAGTATCAAAATGTCTTTAGAAATAGGAAAAGGGGTCTAATTAATGGTTAAGAGCAAATGTTTCTATTTTTAAATTCACACCCGAGTCCCTGACCCCCAAAGCAAAATAAGGGGGGGCAAAAACCAAAACCTTTGATTTTATTTTCCAGAGATGATGAACATTTGTTAATCCAGCATTACTGCCAAAGTTTGAACCAGGACTCCCCCCTGAGCCAGCCTCGTAGTCCTGCCCAGATCTTGATTTCCTTAGAGAGTGAGGAAAGAGGGGAGCTAGAGAGAATCCTAGCAGATCTTGAGGAAGAAAACAGGTGAGTTTTCTTTCTAGCTTTGTCATTGGTATGCAGAGTGCATACACGTGCGTACATAGAAAAGCACCAGGAATCTTCACTTAGTCATTCTGTGTCTAATTGTTTTCTACAATAATCTGTTTAGCTCCATTTACAGATTCTCTCTCTCTCCTTTTTTGTTACCTGCAAGAAGAGAATGAATGCGATAGTATAATTAAGAAGTCCGCATTTAGGGGTGAGAGGAATTAATGCTAATGGTGGTGATTGATTTGTTGCATGTGTTTCAGAGGCTTTATGTATTTGAGAATAGAATTTAAGAACAAAGCAAGTCCTTTAATTTCACAATTATATGATTTGTACATATATTTGGCCGTATTATCTACCTCAAAGCATTTAAGAAAGTAGGTTCGTTGGCTTGGTCGGATCTGGGAACGAATTCATTCATCTTATTTTCCATCCTCAAACACGGAAATCATTAATGCTCACCATCATAGCAGGTTAGTGAGACCATTCCAGTTGTCAGTCATCATCTGAAAAAGCTGTTCACGGAGAAATAGAAACCCTAGAAGTGAAAAGCCTGAAGAAGATTCACAATGACAGCAGAGAGGACGCAGGTGTAAAAATCTGGGGGTACTCTGTGGTGTCAGGAAAATAGAAATCATTGGACATTTTTTGTGTTACATTTATTATATCACAGGTCTCTTGGTTAAGAAAGGCTTTTACGTATGATCACTTCTAACTCACTGTGCCTTCTTTAGACAAATGCCACCAGGCAATTCTTTAAAGGAGCAGTTGCTCAAATTTGTGGGACTTAAGGACCTTTATCTCTTCGCTTTAGCCCAAGGCACCAAGACCTGTGAATCTAGACAGTGCAGTGTGTCTGAGAACTGGTGCCCTGGGGGGGTGGGGGGGTGGGGAGTAGGTCACCTCAAGATGAAAAAGCGAACTGCCATTCATCCATTGCTTTCTACCACCACTGCCCTCCGTCTGGCTCTTAAAACCCCTGACCTGTGGCCATGCTCCTTATCCAGTTGGCTTCTCTTTACTCTCTTTCTCACCCCTCCAGTAAATCCTCCATACCGACTTGAATTGTGTATCTTTCCGGAACCAGGACCCTTCATGGCATTCTTCCTTCATTGCATTTCTGCATCTAGAAAAAAAAAAAATCCAGCTTTTCAGCTGGGCACTTAAAACCTTCCAGAATTTTCTCTTGACTTCCTTTTACAACATTATCTTCCTTTGTGCCTGTGTGTTCCAGCCACGTTGCTGTAGCAGCTGTTTCTGAATACATCCTGCTCTCATCCACTTTCTGGGTCAAGCTCAAGCTTGCTTCTCAGCCTACCCACTAACCCCCATCCCTTCCATATCTGATGAGGGAGTCCTACCCATCCACCATGACCTTCCTCAAAATAATCTTTTCCGTAGAGCGCTGTTAGATCCCGACATTTGGAAGTAATCGATCTTTTGCCTATATTCTCTGAATCATGGGAACCTTTCTCAGAGAATTCCCTGACTGGTTTGCCTTTTTATTAGTTATTCCCATTGCCTCTCTCTAACAAGACAGTGAATGCCTTTGGGGCAAGGACTGTGTCTTCATCCTCATAATGGTCCCCTAGAGTTCCTAGCACAGTGTGAATACTTAGGGGGTAATCAGGAAATGTTTGGTAAAAACCTCACTTTAAGAATACAGCAAGGATGTCCCAAGAGTACTGTCCAGAAGGCAATACGGAACATTTTGTTGGTTGTAATGGTAACAATATTTTTGGCCTTATTTGTAAGACTGGCACTGAAGGTGATGGTAGATAGAACATTTCCCCCTCCTTTACTGAGGATCCTCCTTAGTAGCCATCTGTGTTAAATCTATAGTTATTTTAGGGGTCAGAGTCAAATAAGAAGGAAAAGATGGGATTGGCATGATGAGTAGAATTTGATGTTACCCAGGAATAAAAATATTTTTGTACACTAGGATTGTTGCCATTATGCAATATATCTTTCCATGTCATTGGGTAAGAGTTTTGTCTTACGTGTTGTTGGCACACTTTGCTTCTATACCATGAAAACCAGACCAAAGGGTGTTGGTAAAGAGTACTAATAACTATCATTTCATCATTTCCAGAGCACTTTAATGTATTTTGGGTCATTTAATCTCCCTTAAAGCTCTGTCAAGAAGACGGACAGAGAAATGCTGGTTCACAGAGGTTCGAAGGGCTTGACCCAGATTTCACAATCAGCCAGTGGCAGAACCAACTTCCGGTCCAGATTTTCTGACTCAAAATAGCCAACCCTTGCGCCAGAGAATAAAAAAGAGTCATTCTATGTAAACAGAATTTACACAGAATTGTGGCATATTCCCTGGAATGTACCTTGACTTGAGGCAGTATTCTTTTTTTTAAGTTTTTGTTTTTTTTTAATTTAAGTAATCTCTACACATACCGGGGGCTCAAACCCATGACCCTGAGATCAAGAGTCGCATGCTCCTCTGACTAAGCCAGCCGGGAGCCCTGAGGCTGTACATGAATAAACCAGTTCATGTACTTGTGGTACAATGATAACCACTTTCTCCTGAAAGATATCCAAGACCACTCCCCAAGAATGGAATGGTTCATTCTGTCAAAGAAAGAAAAAGAGAAAGAACATGACACCGGGGCTCCTTACAGCTCTGAAATGAAGGATCTGATGTTGATGCAAGTCTTTGTGTAAGTCCTCCCGACCTTCAAGTAACGGTCGGGATGAGCTTCTTTCTTCCTTCCTCCACTTTGTCACATTTCACTTCCTACCGAATTCCAAAGAAATGTCTCTCCAGAGCTCCCCTCCCGAAAGTACACTATCTGGTTTCCTTTGCTCTGTCCTCTCTTAAGAGTTCCACTCAAAGAGCTTCAGAGCCGTAGTTTTGCCTTTATGATCCCTGAATTGAGTGATGCTTAAGGGGCTTTAGTTCACCCTTTCCTGTCCTTCCTCGGAGAGAATCCAGGGGCTCAGTAGATGCCCTCTCTCAGGGCCCGCCAAGCTGACTGTATTTCCTGAGTCAAACTGGGCCATATAATCAGACTAATACAAGCATACTTTTAGAGAAAATGGGAATGGATATTTAAAGATTTTTTATTTATTTGAGAGAGAGCGAGAGCACGCGTGTGCATATGGCACAAGCCAGGGGAGGGGCAGAGGGGGAGGGAGAGGGACAAGTAGACTCCCTGCTGAGCCCCATACAGGGCTCAATCCCATGACCTGAGCTGAAACCAAAAGTCAGACGTTTAACCTACTGAGCCACCAGGTGCCCCGGGAATGGATATTTAAAATTGAGATTGTCCCGTGTCCCTTGGACATATACTTACCATATCTATGTGTATTTTGTGTTCCTTTATTCTGTAGTTAGGACTTAACCTCCAGATGACAGATAGCAGAGGAAAGAGGCTTAGAGATCCCCATTCCTGAGGACATAGGTTCTTAAATTCTGTTATTCTTCTTCACGACATCTCCCCTTGAAAAAGAGAGAATGGTTAATGTTGAAGTGTCTCAGGGGTGTGTTACCTCGGTCTTTAGGATTCCATTTCTCCCAGTTGCTGGACATAGCATTCAATAAATATTTGTTGAATAAACTGAATGGGGCACCTGGGTGGCTCAGTCGTTAAGCATCTGCCTTCGGCTCAGGTCATGATCCCAGGGTCCTGGGATCGAGCCCCGCATCAGGCTCCCTGCCCAGTGGGAAGTCTGCTTCTCTCTCTCCCACTTCCCCTGCTTGTGTTCCCTCTCTCGCTGTCTCTGTCTCTGTCAAATAAATAAACAAAATCTTAAAAAAAAACCTGAATGAATGAAATGAAGCTGAATTTATTTTAATTATAGCACTCACACATGTCCTTTTGACTAAAGCCTAATTTTTGTAAAGCATTGCCTTTTAAAAGCTGTTCTTCTGCTTGTTTTTCAAAATACTTCCCTTCTCCAAACTTCTTGATTAACCAAGCATTGCTTTGTCAGAAATTTAAAAGGTTAAACACCCATTTTCCAAATCCTAGGCCGTGTATATCTCGCCCATTGGCATTCTCTTGATTGTTGGTTAATAGTACAAATATAAAGTGAAAGCTCTGAGCAAAAGGTAAATCTGACTCTGAATTTTCTCAATAGCACCTCATAAGCTTGGGTGACTCGTGACTTAGACAGTCTTTAATGTTTTACTTCTGCATAATGTCCTCACTCTGCAGATAATTGAGATTCACCGTCATTTGATGGAGACCAGTTGGATATTGAGAATTTGATCCACTGTGTGTCCTCAGCATTGCAAGCTCTGAGTTGGCTTTTTTTCTTGCACAGATTCAAAAGCCTGCAGTCTCCTGACTGAAATTAGTAGTGTCAGATTCCAACGTATTTTTCTCTGCACTGTCTAAATGAAGTGAGACTTGCCCTGAAATTCTAGGTGTGACCCTAGCAATGAAAAGGTAGCCTTTGTGAGAGACCAAAACTTATTGTCATCCTGCTGCCTGCATAGCAAATTGATTAGATTGTTCTCGAGTCTAAAAGGAGCGTAAGTACTAACCAGATTCACTGGGAAGTCTGAAGTGTATTAAAGTTGTCAGCAGACGTTACATGACAGCAGGGAACTGTGGGGATTCCTACTACCTACTTGGTACCTTTCATTGGTCTTGTTGAGCAACCAGACACAGTGTAGTCTAAATTTGAGTTTTCCTTGTTCCTTTTCATTCCTCCAGTGGTTATGCCAGATTGTAAATGTTATAGTCCCAGAAATTCTAGATGGGTTACTTACGCCACAGAGCTGAACTCGATGGAAATCATGATCCTGTTGCTTTACTTGTAAATGATGGGATGACCTTGGGCCCCGGGGCTGCCGGTTCTCTGCACAGCGTCTGCGGTCTTTACTCCATGCTCCTTCCTTAGGCCTTTGTGCGAGTCTGTAGTGCTGGTGAGACTATAACCAAGATGAAGGGACGCTGAAGGGGGTCAGGAGTGGGCCTTCCAAGCAGCGGGAGGAGCAGAAAGTGTCAGGGGGAGGAACGGCAGGGAACGTGGGG